GAAAATATTTAGCAATCTCTTTTGTATTTAATATCTTGTGACAAAGATTGTTAAATGTATGTTAAGAAATTTAAAAATATGCTGGTAGATGGCCTCCCTGGTGGCGCAAGGGGTTAAGATACAACCTGTGAAGCTATCCGCAGCCACTGAAGCTCGAGGTCAATCCCTGGCCAGGGAGCTACCCACATGGCGCAGCAGACCTCTCCTGACTCACTCGCTGCTCCCCTCAGCAGTGTATTTCAGCCCATCACCTGTTCTGTTCCCCATTCAGTCTCTGGTGAATCCCCCCCCACACACCTCTGGCCTGTATCCCCATTCTTGTATGCATAAATAAATGAATATTTAAAAAAATATGCTGGTAGACTACATTGTCACTAAGGTACAAGTAAACTGGGACATAAGACAAAAATGGTGACAAACAAGTAGACATCTGGGTGGCACATTGCCATGAAAAGTAAAATTCTGGAAAAATATTGTTGACACTAGTTTTGATTATCTTTGTGTGCATTTGTGTTTTGCAAAGACCATAATTTTTCTAACTCCAAAGTTATGGAGTCTTTGTTTCATTTATTTTTCTTTTTTAAACTTTTTTTTAAGATTTATTTATGTATACAAGAATGGGGGCACAAACCAGAGGTGCAGGGGGTGAGAGGATTCACCAGAGACAGAGTGGGGAACAGCACAGACAGATCGACTGAAATACACTGCTGAGGGGAGCAGCAGGTGAGTCAGGAGAGGTCTGCTGCGCCATGTGTGTAGCTCCCTGGCCGGGCATCGATCTTGTGTGCAGTGGCTGCGGATTGAATCGTAGGTTGCATCTTAACCCCTAGCGCCACCAGGGAGGCCCTGTTTCATTTCTTAAAGCAGTGGTAGGGTCTTGAGCCTATTAAAATGCTGAGGAGAAGGAGAGGAGAAGAGGGGAGACATTGAAGGTACATGAGAGAGGACAGTTGATGGAGCTAATCAAGAGAAGGACGGAGAATGTGGCATCTTGGGTATTTGTGGAGGGGTGAACTTTGGAAAGAAGGAAAAGATGGTTGCAGGTCCAAGTAGGTGTGTAGCTAGAGTTTCAGAGAATGAGATGGTAGACGTTATCTAAGCAGAACAAAGGCATAAAGGTGGTGTGAAAGGTTGGGAGAAGAGCAGTGTTGGAGGTTCAGAACCTGAATGTAGACAGACGTCTGCCTGTGGTTTAACATGAAGCAGCTTTGGAGCCAGGTCAGATTTATAACCCAAGGAGGAACAGGATCTTTTTCAAGCATCACCAGGTAGGTGGTGGAGGAAGGGAAGAGGGTGCCGACCCTCTCTCTTGACCTTGCAGTCAAGTGGAGCAGGGTTGGCCATGTGGCAGGAACAGTTCTTCCAAAGGACCATGTGTCCATTGAATCAGTAGGTGGCGAGAACATTAGTGACTTTGTGGAGGATGCTCTGGAGGATCTAGTGGAAAAGTTTGAAGGGAGGAAACGCAGAAAGGAAGGTTAGTTAGGTCAGGGGAGAGAAATTGGTCATATGCAGATGATTACAGGAATACTGACTTTACAGGGAGACATTTGTCTTGGACCAGACTTCGCTGGTCACCAAAGACGTGAGGCATGGTGGCGGCCACAAGGTGGCCAGAGTAATTAGTGTCCAGTTGGATGGGATTTCCCTTGGGATCCACTCTGGTCACAGCTGTGGAGTTCTCTCTGATAGGTGTGTGTAGATAGCTTGATAATTTGGGCTGATGTGGGACTTTACTCTTCTCCACAAGCACATATATAGACCTGTTCTGTGACGTTACAGTGTATGCTTTCTACCTCTTTGTCCAGAGTTACCCCTCCAAGACTCAGCTTATTATCTGTGAGATAATGCATATTGTGCATAAGAGAAGTAAAAGATTATAGGCGAGGGCCAGATAGAAAGTAGGACTTGTTACAGTCTGTGACTCGTGTCTATAAATGATAAGCCTAACATAACTAACAGTGCTCTGCTCTTCAGGAAAGGACATGTTGTACCTGATGTCCCAACCACTTAAGGAGGCACAGCACACACCATCCTCTGCTTAGGCTGTGGCTCTGGTCTCTCTTCCCGAGGACCTCATTCGGGGCTACCTCTCCTTTCTCGCTCATCTCTTGACCCTCTACCGGGTTGTTTCCACCAGCAGTGGTGGGAATAGTCTTAATAGCTCCTTCCTTCCTTCCTCCCTCCCTCCCTCCCTCCCTCCCCCCTCCCTCCCTCCCCTCCTCCCCTCCCTCCCCTTCCTCCCCTCCCTCCCCTTCCTCCCCTCCCTCCCCTTCCTCCCCTTTCCTTCCCTTCTTTCTTTTTTTTTTTTTATTTATACAAGCACTGGGTACAGTCAGAAGCGTGGGAGGGTGAGAGAATTCACCAGAGCCAGAGTGGGGAGCAGAGTGACTGAGGTACACTGCTGAGGGGAGCAGCAGGCGGCAGGAGAGGTCTGTGTGCCATGCGGGACCCTCCTCCAGTGGCCGGGGAGCAGCTGGGGATTGAACCGGCGCTGCAGAGGCTGCGGGCAGCTTCGCAACCCAGTGCTCAACCGCTGCACCACTGGGGAGGCCCCAATAGCTCCCTTCTTTAAAAACAACCTTGTTCTACCAACATTTCTTCTCTTGCTTCTTACCCATGTTTTTCTGCTCCTCAGGGCAAAATGTAAACAGAGCTACCTTCAAGCCCTCATCTTGCTTACTCTTCAATGTGCTCCAGTCTGCGTTTCACCCCACCACTCCCCCGAAAGTGTTCTTTTGAGCACATCGAGGGATCTCTGTGTTGTCAAATCCTGATAAACATTTGACTACCTTATTCTGCTTTTTATTACCCTCTGTAGTTAGCCACTTCTTGAAACACTTCCCTCTCTTGCTTCTGTGACACCTTTGCTTGGTGTTCTTTATCATACCATTTCTTCTCTGTCTCTTCAGCCAGGATTCTTGATGTGGACGCTCTGCGAGTCTGCCACAGCAGTCAGTCCAGTCTCTAGTCCTGTCTTTCTCTTTCCAATCTGTAAGTGCTGGGGAGCCTCAGAGTTCTTTAAATTTTATATATATGTTAATGATTTCCAGACCTCTTCCCCAAGTTCCGGGCTTGTAGATCTTGCTGCTGCTTGGTGTGACACACAGATGCTTGACTTAGCAAGTGTTTTACACTTAGCATTTAAGGGCGGGACATCTGCTGCACCCACCCACCTCTGCTCATCCTCCTTTCCTGCCTTCCTCCCGATTCCTAATCTTGCACACTGTAGTGTGTGGCACCATTTGCTTAACTCAGAAACAGCTGTTATCCTTATTTCTCTATTCCCCATTTTTTTTAAAATTTATTTATGCATACAAGAGCTGGGGTACAGGCCAGAGGTGTGGGGGGTGAGAGGATTCACCAGAGACAGAGTGGGGAACAGAACAGGCAGACCGACTGAAATATACTGCCGAGGGGAGCAGTGGGCAAGACAGGAGAGGTCTGCGTCGCCATGTGGGTTTCTCCCTTGCTGGCTGGGGATTGAACTTGTGCTGCAGAGGCTGTGGATTGCCTCGCAGTGCGGTGCTTAATCCCTTGTGCCACCGGGGAGGCCCTCCATTCCCATTTTAATACCAAGTTTGTTGGCAACTGAGTGCTGCCAGTTCTGCTTCTAAAACTATCTAGTTTTTCTACACCTCCACTGCCCCTGTTCTTGTCTTAAGTCCCTATGACATCCCCTTGGACTGTTGCAGTAGCCTCCTATTTCACCTATTCTCCCTCTCATTCTGCAATACATTCTTCACTGTGAAGCCAGACTCCTCTTGAAATAACTTACTAGATCATTTCATACTCCTACTTTAGTACTTTTCTTTGCACTTAGAATAAAACCCAGCTCCTTGTGGTATCATCCAAGGGCTGTGTATAACTGACATCTCCCTGCTCTCTAAACTTCTTTTTTTAAAGATTTACTTATTTATGCATGCATGAACTGGGGTAGAGACCCACGGTGCAGGGGGTGAGAGGATTCACCAGAGACAGTGGGGGACAGAGCAGGTGGATCCACTGAAATATACTGCAGGCCAGACAAGAGAGGTCTGTTGCGCCATGTGACTGGCCAGGGATCAAACTTGTGCTGTAGAGGCTGCAGATAGCTTCACAGTGCTGTGTTTAACTCCTTGCACCACCAGGGATGCCCCTGCTCTCTTAACTTTGATTTAAATCATCTCTCCCTTGCTGCTCATGCTGTGGGCATGCCGACCTCTTTGTTCTTGGACTTACTGAGGTCTTTCTGTAGGGCCTTTGCTCATGTTCATTCCTCTGCGTGGACCTCTCATAGCTGCTTCCTTTCAACCCATTTGGATTCTCTTTTCAGATGTCACCTTATTCGCGACCATCCTATTTTAATTGTGCCCCTCGTTACTCCATTACATTAGCCTTATTTTCTTGTTTCACCTGTGTATTGGCTGCCCTTTTCCCATATTCATATCCCACCCACCCACCCTCTCAGATGTAAGTTGAACAAAGGCAGAGACCTGCTCATTCTTTCTTTTTTTTTTTTTTAAGGATGATTGCTCTTTTTTTTTTTTTTTTAAAGATTTATTTATTTATTTATTTATTTATTTATTTATTTATTTATTTATTTATTTATTTATTTATTTATACAAGCACTGGGTACAGTCAGAAGTGCGGGAGGGTGAGAGAATTTGCCAGAGCAGGGAGCAGAGCAGGCAGAAGGACCGAAGTACACTGCTGTGAGGGGAGCAGCGGGCGGCAGGAGAGGTCTGCGCGCCATGTGGGACCCTCCTCCGGTGGCTGGGGAGCAGCCGGGGATCGAACCAGTGCTGCAGAGGCTGCGGGCAGCTTCGCAGCCCAGCGCTCAACCGCTGCGCCACCGGGGAGGCCCTGCTCATTCTTTTTCATTGGTGTGTCTACAGTTAACAGAATGTCTAGAACTCAGAAGTCCCTTAAATATTTGCTGAATAGTTATTGTTACTTTTCTCATTAATCCTATCCACTAAGTACAGTGGAGTGAAATATGTTTGGTTTTCTCTGTCTAGTTAGAATTCTTGGGACCACCTTCTTAGCTGAGAACACGTTTCCTAACTGCTGACAGGCGTGATGATTTACTGGTTGCTATCTGTTGTCCGAAGACAAAGAACCAGCCAAGGATGGCAGAAGTGGTCCTCGGCCAGAAGCAGTTCGACGGCTGCCGAGGTGCATCCTGTCACCCTGCCTGCCCAGGCACAGGTGGTCATCTGTGGTGGTGGAGTCATGGGCACATCCGTGGCCTATCACCTCTCAAAGATGGGGTGGAAGGACATCATCCTATTGGAGCAGGGCAGGTAAGGATTGCTCTGGATGTGGCTTGCACCTGATTGACCCTCACTGCATGGGGTCCCCTCTCCTTTGGTGCTATTGTCCCACCAGCAGCTAACCTCAGGGGGCTAAGTAGCATGAGAAGAATCAGGGAAAATCAGATCTCCTGTATTTTGTCTTGTCATGCCTAATCCTCACATTTTCTGATTTTTTGAGAGTCATCAGATCCCAACAAAACAGGTATCTAAAAGGTTGTTTTTTATCCTGTGTTCACAGCACATCTTCTCTTGCTGTTATACTCATATGACAGTGTAACTCTTGGGACCCGGTCATTTCCTCTGTGAGCCCAGATGAAATTGGTTGCTTTTTGCCTTGTTACATTTTTGTTCAGTTAACTAATTTTAGAACAGTTTTAGGTTTACGGAAAGGTTGGGAAGATAATACAGAGTTCTCATTTATCTCATACTCTCTCCTGTTACGGACATCTTTTTTTTTTTTTTTTAAGATTTATTTATTTATACAAGAACCGGGGTACAGGCCAGATTCGCAGGAGGATGAGGGGATTCACCAGAGACAGAGCGGGGAACAGAACAGGCAGACTGACGAAATACACTGCTGAGGGGAGCAGCGGGCAAGACAGGAGAGATCTGCCGCACCATGCGGGACCCTTGCTGGCTGGCCGGGATCAAACTGGTGCTGCAGAGGCTGCAGACAGCTTCACAGCAATGTGCTCAACCGCCTGTGCCACCAGAGGAGGCCCTGTTATGGACATTCTACGTTAGTGTTAATGTTTTAATATTGGTACAGTATTGCTAATTAAAATTCATACTTTGATTTTTTTCCCGCTTTTCCCTAATGTCCTCTTCTGACTAGGCTTTTTATGTTCTATTGCCTGACACAAATTGGACATTAAAAAAATTAAATTGTATTCATTTCTAAGTAGGCAATACATTTACATTTACATATTTGGAAGTATGTGGGAATTTACAGGCAGAATCTCCCTCTTACCTCTGCTCTCTAGCTGCACGTCCCCCACTGGAGGCAGGCTAGGTTCCTGTGCAGGGTCTCACATACTCCGCCTGGGTAAGCGGATGTGTGCTGGGAGGTATGTATGTGTATGTGGGCATGCATTTCTCTTTTTTTCCTTTTTGGTATAAGTTACAGCAGACCTTAAACACTGTTTCTCATTTTGCTCTCCTCATTATGTTTGTTCCATATTGGCACATCAAAGCTGTCTACCTTTTTCATGACTACATTATCACTGTCAAGGTGAACTCTAAAATTCTGAATTAGGTTCATGTTGATGCACATTTTGGTTTGTGTCCATCTTCTGATACTACACAATGCTCTAATGAGGAACCTTGAACTTGTTGCATGCAGTTATGTGAACCTACCAAATGGTTTTTGTGTTCATCCTGCCAGGCTGGCTGCTGGCTCTACAAGGTTTTGTGCTGGCATCCTAAGCACTGCTAGGCATGTGTCCATCGAGCAGAAGATGGCAGACTATTCAAACAAACTCTACCAGCAGTTAGAGCAAGAAACAGGGATCCAAACAGGTAAGCAGGTAATCTATCATTTACTAGTCTGCTTGTCCCTCAGATTCTTTTACTCAGTATTGTGTTTGGTTCTCCATCAACTTTGCATGGTGATTTGGTAATTAAGACTTGAATTTTAGCCTAGGCTCTCCACTAGTTGAAATATTTCATGGGACAAATCACTTAGGTTTATGAGCTGTCTTCAGTTTCCTTATTTATAAAATGAGGGGATTTAGTCAATATCCTAGATCCTGTAATTCTTATGATTTGAAAATTTTCCTGGGCCAGTTTCCATATATTTCACTCATGTAAGTATTGTAAGTGGCATACTTGGTTCCAAAATGAAGAAGACGAGAAGAAAGAACTTAAATTTAGGTGCTTCATAGTAAAAATCATAGTTTGAGCCACTGAAATTCACCAATTGCTATTAAGTATATTTCTGATAAGGAAGCATAAACATGTATTTTTCCTTATCTGTGTAATTAGGGGGGAAAGAACACAGAGTTTTATGCGATTAGTATTAGAGTAAGTAGAAACTGTTCTAAGAACAGGAAGCTAATCTACACTATAATCCCACATGATAACAAGATAGAAAGAATTTTTGTCACAAGATTATAAATTGGGGCCTCCCCGGTGGCGCAGTGGTTGAACGCTGGGTTACAAGGCTGCCCACAGCCTCTGCAGCGCCGGTTCAATCCCCTGCCGCCAGGCGAGGGTCCCACATGGCGCACAGACCTCTCCTGCCACCTGCTGCTCCCCTCAGCAGTGTACCTCAGTCCTTCTGCCTGTTCTGCTCCCTGCTCTGGTGAATTCTCTCACCCTCCCGTGCTTCTGACTGTACCCAGTGCTTGTATAAATAAATAAATAAACAAATATTTAAAAAATAAATAAATAAAAATAAAATGTTAAAAAAAAATTATAAATTGGCCAGAAGCCCAGAGTTGCAGATATTCATGGCTGAAGAAACTGTGAATCTATTTGGTGACATACTAGTTACAATGAGAGGGCAGCAGGGCCCAGTGATGAAATTCAGGCCACGTGCATGTGTAAGGGTTGCATCTTTGAAGACCTTGCATAATTCTGATCACAGGTAATTCACGATTAATCTGGCCAAGGATAGTAGCTTTTTCTCTTTGCCATCTAAAGCTATGGTACCATGTGACCTTAGTTTAAGAACAGTTTATGGTTTTCTTCACCTGTCAACTTAGAAATTACATAACATGACAATTTTAGAGAAGATGAAATTGGAATTGTTGGAAAATGTGTCCACCAAGCAAGGGTTTATAACATACCCATTTCGTAAAATTCATAATTCTATAAAGTATAACCTTGTACATTTTAAATTAAGACTGAATGTCTAGTAACTAGAATTTGATAGACCTGGAAGTGGGAATAGGGGATGTCAGGAGGGGATTCAAGGCAGTGAAGGAAGGGGCTGCATATTCCTGGGCACATAAGCAGGCTGAGACTGGGGTGAGGGACCACAGCTTCTAAGCTGTCACTGGAGAGGCACAGGGCTGAGAGTAAGTGCTTCCTTCAACACCTTGACCTGGGTATCTCATTGTCTCACCTGCCTCACCCTGGTCCCTGCCAGGTCTATAAGCTTGATTATTCATAGTGATGCTGAACTTAGCTAGGCTTCCTTTTGAGAGGCAAGTAAGTCATTCCTACTACTGCACTGTCTCTGGCTTATACTAGGGAAAGTGCCTGACTCATACTAGGGAAGCTGGGAAATAGCCCTTTGAACAGGATTGGACTGGATTGGATCACAACCTTGGTATTAACCAGGGTATGAGTGAGAAGAGGGTCCACATAGTGGACAGGGAATGGAACTGATGACTCCTGTTCCCATTGGTTCAATTATTTGGATCTCTCAGCTGGTTGGATTGCAGAGGAATCGGGATCATAGGCTTTGTTCCTTTTTTCCTATAAGTTAGTCTGACTTTAGTTCTAGTTCACTGTCTGGAACCCTTATTTGAGTGGACTTCTCGTTGATGCTAGTGGAGCAGTGAGGACATCAGGTAAAGGAGTGTAAAGAAATGTAAAGGGATCAACCTTTGTCTGTCTTCCCCTTTGTAATTCATCAGTGATAAGGTGAACGGTGGTGACACCGGGACATCCCTGATGGGGAATTCTCTTATCTGGCAGAATGTGTGTGTGTGCATTACCAAAAGGATGGTCGTTCACTGGACTACTTTTGAGTAGTCATTAAATAAATTAGTTGCAGAGGATTCACCAGAGACAGAGCAGGGAACAGAACAGGCAGATTGACTGAAATACACTGCTGAGGGGAGCAGCAGGTGAGACAGGAGAGGTCTCCTGCACCATGTGTGTTGTCCCTGGCTGGCCAGGGATCGAACTCGTGCTGCAGAGGCTGCGGATTGCTTCATAGTGTGGTGCTCAACCACTTGTGCCAACAGGGAGGCCCCTAATTTATACCTTATTAGATACGTTGTGTGTGTGTGTGTAATAGGTAAATTCTTTAGTTGAAATGAGATGGCATTAACCATGTTATTAATTACCTTGTTTTTCAACTTAGGAATTTTTTTTTAAATTTTTATTAAGATTTATTTATTTATTTATACAAGCACTGGTGTACAGTCAGAAGCGCGGGAGGGTGAGAGAATTCCCCAGAGCCAGAGCGGAGAGCAGAACAGGCAGACTGACGAAATACACTGCTGAGGGGGAGCAGCAGGCCACAGGAGAGGTCTGTGCGCCATGTGGGACCCTCGCCCGGCGGCTGGGGATTGAACCAGTGCTGCAGAGGCTGCGGGCAGCTTCGCAACCCAGCGCTCAACCGCTGCACCACCGGGGAGGCCCGCAACTTAGGAATTTTTTGTACAAAATACAAATGTGCAAGATTATTTAGTATAATACTGTTTAATTGTAAATGTAATATTGACGGGTTCAAATACCCTTTTGAGACTGGTTGGATAAAAATGCTACAACATCACAGAAGTCTGCTAGGTAGATGAATAAAGAATGAGGGAGGGCCTTCCTGGTGGCTCAGCGGTTAAAGTCTAAGCCCCCTCACCGGCAGCCACTGCAGCATGAGTTTGATCCCTGCCAGGGATCTAACCCACAAAAGGTGCAGTAGGCCTCTCCTGCCTTGCCCGCTGCTGCCCTCAATAGTTTATTTCAATAGATTGGCCTGTTCTTCCCACTCTGTTTCTGGTGAATCCTCTCACCCTCCTTCATCTCTGGGCTACACCCCAGTATTTGTATGCATAAATAAATAAAAATGAAAATCTGAGAAAAAAAAGAACGAGGGTGCTCTCTGAACCGCTGTGCAGTGATTCCTGGGATACATTGTTAAATGAGAAAAACAAAGTTTTATGGAAAAACAAAACAAAGTTTTATGGAAGAAATAAGAAACAAACAAATAAGGAAATCCATGAGCAAATACATAGTCTTACAAATATAAAAATACAGGAATGAGAAACTAGAAACTGCTGGGGTAGGTTACCATAAGGGTAAGTAGGAAATGATGTAGGAGTGAGGGTGCCATGAGGAAGGGATACTTCTGGGTTTACTTGGTGGTTTTTGACTTCTAGAGCCAGGTTAGCATTTTGCATGCTCCATCAAGGAGAAGGGAAAGCTGCAATGAAATATTGCCAGAAATATAGGAACCTAACACCCAAATGAGTCAGGTCACACTGTAGGGAGGAAAATGAACTGCCCTTGGGAACTTTTGAACACAGTATTTTGACTGTGTGCCCTCAGTTTAAACACAAAAAGAAATGTGAATAATACTGATTACTGATTAGCAAATTTGTCTGTTTTTCTTTTTTTTTTTTTTTTTTAAATAATAAATTTTATTTTTATATTCCCCCATACAATTGCAAAAGCCCCATTCTGACCCCAATCCTTCCCTTCCCGCCCCCCACCCCCCAAAAAGTGTCTCTGGTTCATAGTTTTTTGTTGATTTTGATTTTCACTTTCTTATATTCATTTTCCTGGTCCCTTATTTAAGTTTTCTAGATTCCTGCTATGAGTGAGACCATCCGGTATTTTTCTTTTTCTTTTTGGCTTATTTCACTGAGCATGATCCCTTCCAGCGCCATCCATGTTGCTGCAAATTGCATGTGTTTATCTTTTTTGAATGCTGAGTAATATTCCATGGTATATATGTACCACATCTTCTTGATCCAGTCATCTATTTTTGGGCATTTGGGTTGTTTCCAAAGCTTAGCTATTGTAAACAGTGCTGCTATAAACATAGGGGTGCAGGTGTTCTTTGGAATTGATGTTTCTGTGTCCTTTGGGTAAATACCTAGGAGTGGAATTGCTGGATCCTATGGAAGCTCTATGTTTAGTAGGTCCAGAAATCTCCACTCAGCTCTCCATAGTGGTTGGACCAGTTTGCACTCCCACCAACAGTGCAGAAGAGTTCCTTTTTCTCCACACCCTCGCCAACATTTGTTGTTGCTAGTTTTTTTAATATGTGCCATTCTCACTGGTGTGAGATGGTATCTCATGGTAGTTTTGATTTGCATTTCCCTGATTACAAGTGATGTTGAACATTTTTTTTTTTTAATCTTAAATTTTATTTTTATATTCCCCCATACAATTGCAAACGCCCCATTCTGACCCCAATTCTTCCCCTCCCGCCCCCCCCCCCCCAAAAAGTGTCTCTGGTTCATAGTTTTTTGTTGATTTTGATTTTCACTTTCTTATATTCATTTTCCTGGTCCCTTATTTAAGTTTTCTAGATTCCTGCTATGAGTGAGACCATCCGGTATTTTTCTTTTTCTTTTTGGCTTATTTCGCTGAGCATGATCCCTTCCAGCGCCATCCATGTTGCTGCAAATTGCATGTGTTTATCTTTTTTGAATGCTGAGTAATATTCCATGGTATATATGTACCACATCTTCTTGATCCAGTCATCTACTTTTGGGCATTTGGGTTGTTTCCAAAGCTTAGCTATTGTAAACAGTGCTGCTATAAACATAGGGGTGCAGGTGCTCTTTGGAATTGATGTTTCTGTGTCCTTTGGGTAAATACCTAGGAGTGGAATTGCT